CAAGCCCAGACCCGGCTAGTGTGTGGGAGAGCTTCTGTGTTCCCCTGTACCCCCTGGGTCAGGGGCACAACAGAGGGGCAGTACAGGTTCACTTCCAAGGGCTACAGAAGAAAGGAGCTGAACACAGCAGCTAGACCCAGGCCAGGAATAACTGGATAAACTGAATACATCTGCACCCAAATTTCAGTAGGTGCTGAGGTTATAACTGCACCAAAGCTCTCCACCAAAGGTCAGAAGTCAGTGCTATATGAAAGGACAAAGAGAAAGAGCAAAATGCAATACCAAGCCCTGAGCCCACCCATAACAAGTTCAGAGGACACTAGCTCAGCTGAAATGAATGAATTAACAGTGTCAGAAGTAAAGAAACAACAGCAGAAAGGTATAGAGGAACTCAGAGTAGAATTAATTCTTGAAATAAAAAAGAAATCTCTGAATTCATAGCATCTGAAGTAAAGAATCAAATACAGAAACATATGAGGGAAACCCAATGCCCACCCAGAACAAGAGCAGAGGACACTAGCTCAACTGCAATGTATGAATTAACAATGTCGGAAGTACCTTTCTGCTTGTGGCTTTTACTTTTAATCTTTTTTTATTGGGTAAGAATAACTCATTTTTTCTCTTCTTAGACATCACTAAATATGAAAAAAATTTTCTACTATGTTGCGAGAACCACAAGACAAAATGTGGGTGGACCTAACATCTTGCACATAGCCCTGCATTAGAGGAATTTAACAACAGGACAGAAATTTGACACTTCATGGCTCTTAGGCACTAAGTTAGGAGCAAGCGTTTTATAGTTTGTATCTTGAAAACCAGAATCAGGAATTGTACTCCTAAGAGAGCATAGTATGTAATATAGAAGTATTTTGAATAAAAATAAGTGTAAAGCTTAGAGAGAAAGCAAAATAGTTGTTTGATGCCCTTAGAGAAAAATCAAGGCAGCCAGGGTTTTGAGGGACTAAAAAACACCTAAGAAGAAGAAAACACTGCAGAAGAAGATAAACTATTTTGAGATGATTCCCATGACTGCCTCTCTGCCCTCTTTCCTCCTGATCCTAAGTAAATTCAATGTCAGGGGCTGAGGAAAAAGGAGGCTATTGTTTTACTCGCAGAAAGAAAAACAAAACCAAAATAAACCGAGTGCAGGATGCCAGGATGTTCACAATCTGAAGGGAAAGACTGAGGGAATCACACTGCTCTTCAATTGCTGCCTGTGACTTTCCCAGAAGCCTTTGGCAACTCCAGCCCATGGCCTTGATGTGAAGCACCAGGAAGAGGGCCGGAAGTCTCACTTACTACACAGCTGGGGGGGGCATTTTTTCATCCCCTAAAAAGGCCGGGCTCAGGAAGGAACTCAGGTAAGGACCCCTAAGGCTACTGTTGGCCATCTGAGAGATGCCCTTACAAGTGAGGACAAAGCTTGAAAGTTAAGGCAAAGTAAAACTGAAATAGCATTCACCAAACTGGAACTTCAGTACAGACTATTTGAGCATAAACTTACCATGATCTATCTTGTCACAATTATATTAAAATCTCTCTGGAAGAAGGTAACATTGTTCATGGCTCTGTATTTAAAAAGATTACAGTGCTTATTGTTGTCTTCGTAGTGGTTATTCATAGTACAAGATGTAGACATGACATTTTGTCCAAATACTATTGGTACAAATCTTTCTTCTCATTGAATTACAGACACAACAGTATGCAATGTATTAATTGTTGAAACTGTCCTACTAATTGGTTTTGAAACTGTCTCATTGCTATTTGTTACTCAAAA